GTTTTGGATAACTTCATTTCTTTTTGGAATTTTCACGACCCTCTCATTTTTATCGTACATAAGATTAGTATGTCCTTCAGTTTTGTAAAATGACAACAAGTCTGCAACAGCAGCACAATGTGCTTTTGAAGAACATGTTGCTCTAGCTTACCCTTCTTTTCTTTGCCAATACTCTTCATTTTATGCCACAGATGGACCACGAGGGAAAAGAGAGCAAGCAAAGTATGATACATACTTTTCGATACTGTATTTTAATGTCGGGTAATCTTGAAACCACTGGGCGCAAAAATCTTCGGTTTTCTCCTGCAGAACAGGATTCGTTCAGGGGAAATGTTGGTAAGGACCTGGTCCTGAGGCCTGGGTACTGGATTCTGGGTCCTGGGCCATTGGTCCTGGGTCCTGGGTCCTGGGTCCTGGGTCCTGGGTCCTGGGTCCTGGGTCCTGGGTCCTGGGTCCTGGGTCCTGGGTCCTGGGTCCTGGGTCCGGGGCCTGGGTCTGGGCCTGGGTCCTGAGTCCCGTTCGCTCCTGTCTCTAAATTTTAACAATAGTTAAGATTTTTACATCTAAAAAGTCCCAAAATTTCTTAAGCATAAAATTCGCAAGTTGGGACTTAAAAACAAAATATTCCAACCTTAGGGGCGTCACGCCCCTAAATCCCCCATTTTTTTACGTGACTGTTCATAATAAATTGATGCACCGACAGCCCAACACGCTCAAGATGATTTGGAATGGAAACGTAGACGTACGCAAATCACAAATGTCTTCAAGGTGTCTATTTCTTTTTACATCTTTTTTTGAAGAACATTCCACCTTACAACTTGCTATGAAATCTCTGTTCTCGGTTTAATATTAACAAAATCTTTAGATAATTTATGTTCAAAGTTAAGGTGGTTGTATAATTTTGAAATATCAGCGTATTTAATTGAAATTTCATAAAAATAATTATCTAAAGTATGCATTCCTGTGCAGGGGGTGTAGATAAGAACTTCAAAAAGTTTGAGAGCGTTAGCATAGGTGAGGCAGAAAGCAAAGCTTTGTGTCTCCATTCTTTGAATGAAAAAGGAATTCGCGTGCTACATCTTTATATTCTACCTTACAGGTGTTTCACTTTAATCCATGGATTTTTCACTAAATTATAATTTTCTATCTGCGTTTCTTCTAATGAATTAGTTTTATAGATAAAAACCTATTTCTGAAACTCTCCGGCCGCAATTTTATTATTGGTCTCTATAGCTTTCCAATCATGTCTGACTGTCATTGTTTGTCGGTGTGTAGGTGTCGGTGTCGGCCGAGCCTGATCTCAGGCTAGTCGGTGTGGCAAGGACACACCCATTTTTGGAACTGTGTTTTACAACAATGTTGTTGCAATAGAACTGATAACATTTCCAGGAAATTACAGCAGACGAGACAATCTAACAAATGAATGATGCTTGGCTTGGAAGCTTTACTTTGACATTTTTTTATTTTTGGCTTAGTTATGACGTCATACATGCATTTTGTATGATGATACCATAAAGCCTTGGCCAAACGATTCGATTTTTCGCTCGATCTTTCTCTCGACATTTGATCTCAAAATCGAATGAAGTCGAGCATGGGTGGCCAAACGATTTTTCACTCGACTTTTACTCATGCCAACAAAATGAAGACAAAGAAACTTCAAGCAGCTGATGCAATTTCCTTTCACATTCTCTTGACGAACTCTAGCGTCATAAGACCCTGTTCGTTCGTTTCATGAAGTAACCGTCACTAAATATTTTTTTTCGTTTAAGCAAATTACTATTTTTAGGCATACTTTTGTTTTGTTTGATTAATTCAATTCTTAAAATGGAATTCATCACTTTAAAAAGTCCCTTGAACCTAGAGGCCCCAGGGTAGTATACTTCCCTGCCCCCTTTGGCCGCCCCGCTCTCGACCCTAGCCCTAGCCCTTTTTTTAAAATAACTAAGCATTAGAGGTGATAACTGCGCACGCACTCACTTGACTCATTCGACAAGGTGGCCAAACGATTCGATTTTCATTTGACAACACCTTTTTCACTCGACTTTTTGATAATGATCAAACTTCACTCGATCTCACTCGACACCATTCGACTCGCTTGATTTCTTGTTGAGTAAAAAATCAAGTGGAAAACATGGCTAGGTGGGCATTGGGTGTCCCAGGGAAATACCAACGCCGAAGCCTCATGATTATGTTCTTCTTTACAAACGATGTTTTCTTCAAACTTCTTCGAATTTTGAAATCAGTCTACCAAATATTTCCAAGGAGGTTGTAGAAGGGGTTTCGGCTAGGTTGCCAACAGACTGTTTTGCTAACTGACTAATGACTAATTGTGTGTAAAATCCAAGACTTATGACTAACCATTTTTTTATTTGATTAGCGGCTAATGCGAATTATCTCAAGTGTCACATATATTCACATAAATTCAAACTTTCTGACGGTGTGCACTCGAGCTGAGAAAGAATCATTTATACCAGACAAGTAAGAAGTAAGAGTTATCTTCAGATGATGAAAAGAACTTCAGATGACGAACTGTTTTCGCAACAACAACTAAGTGCTAGGAGAACAATAAACCACCCATTTGCGTCCGAATCAGAATTGCTGAAAATGAATCATAGCAATTTTATATCTTGTCTGAATCAGACTGTTTATAAGAAATAAGTGAAACGAAGTAAGTTTTTTCTAAAAGAGGCATTTTCCGGGATTCTTAAGGGTGTGGCCTGGAAAATCTCGGCCACGCCCTTTTCAGCCCACTCACTTTTAGGATGGTGCGCAGTGCCTGTCTAAGTATGATAGAGGATTACAGTTTCTAAGCGTCCTGTGAGAGGCTATTTTATGTTGCAATTCAATTAAGAACTCATAAGAATTTTGTTTTTTGTATATGAGAGATTTACTAATGTTTGAGTCAATAAGTCAATGCGTGATAAGTCATGAGTCGCAATGAGTCGCAATGAGTTGCAATGAGTCGATTAAACTCCTAAGACAATTTTCTATGCTGAATAAAAATATGACATTCAAATTTGAATGTTTGTTTGAAGCCATAAAAAAAGGACAAGCACATCTTGTCAAAATCTGAGAAAAAGAGTGTAATACCCTCCTCAACCAGATCACACTAAGCCCTTTCACGTTATCTTGTGTCGTTAGGAGACTCGGGATCCTGTTTGTTGTTAGTGTGCCCAACTAGAAAAGGGCGTGTGTCCGTATAGACATACTATACTGCCATATATAATATATAGAAACATGTATATACATTGTCTTTTTTAATTCTGAGTCCTTCCTAGCTCATCAGCCAATCTACCAAGTGGAGCGTTTCGGGGCTTATGATCAGTATGCTCCTTTACACCTGGGTGCCCCCTCACCCCTGCGTCCAGGGATGATGCCAGCAAAGGTGTATCATTTAATCATAGCGTTGTATAGAAAAGAACAGGATATCCACGTCCATGTGTATCCAGTTTATTCATGTAGCCTCGCCATAGAGGTATATAAATACATATAATGTATTACTGATCTTGATCATAACTCGTGACTCACGACTCATGACTCACGACCCACTTACTTACGATTTAGGCAACCTCTGTATATGAAACTAAGAAACAATGTTGAAACCAGGAGTTTTAAACTAAAAAGAAACTCTGACTAACTGGAACCAAAAATCTCGACTAGTGACTAACGACGTTAAACTGCACCCTGGGGGTCCCTTGGGCAAGGAGTATTACCTTAGTACCAGGGTTACGGTGAAGCTATTGACAGCAGGATAGTGGATTGCTCAGATGGGCACGCTGTGGTGTAACTACGGGACACTGGCCATCTCAGCTACTGAGGTTTGGTCCAACTGAACAAATGGCAGAGATCATCTGCTCAGTTAGCCAGCATTATGGTTGAGGAAAGAGATTAGGGGCCTCTACCTCTCCCATTCTCTAGCTCCCGACCACACACAAGATGGTTGTACAACAAAACAAGACCTCATACCGCGTTGTCCGTCGCGCGGGTCACCAAGGGACGCGTTATCCAGCGGGTGACCAGGCTGGACACGACAAGTATGCTACTGGAAAGCAAAGCCACAATATGCGAAACCAGCTGTGTATTGGCACATGGAATGTTCGAAAGATGAAAGAGCTAGGGAAACTTGACACAATCTGCAGAGAAATGAGTCGAAGCAAAATCCAGATACTGGGAATTGCAGAAACAAATTAGAACAACTGTGGAAGTTTCTCAATACCCTGGTTTTCGCGGTAGCGACGAATGGCTGCGAATGCAGGGTCATGCAGAAATCGGACAAAAATCGGCTAATTTCTTTTGAGATTTGGTGTTACAGACGAATCATGCGAAACAGTTGGAGAGCGAGAAAAACAAACGAATGTGTCCTGCAGAAAATTGGTAAAGCTACCCTTCTCAACAGCATCAACAAAAGGAAGTTGTCGTTTATCGCACATGTCGCAAGAAGCGAAATGACATTTCTCTCTGGAATGGTCAATGGCAAGCGAAAGAGAGGAAGCCCACGGCGAAAAATCGAAAATGATGTCAAAGGGGTCTTGGGAATGTCAATGTCTGGTCTTCTACGAAGCGCAAGAAACAGAGACACCTGGCGTACGACCATTGCGCGTGCCACGGCGGGTCAGCACTGACCCATCCGTTCCTGCTGATGATGAGTGCCTAACGGCGCCATTTTTGGCCTGACTAATGACTAGCAGTATCTACACCCTAGAATAAGGGGCAATAGAATTCAAAGGCCCTGCCACCAGGCAAGTAAACTATCCAAAGTTGTGTTAGGGTAAACTTTCCATAAAATGCTCTTACCAATTATTGCGAAAAAGTGGGGGGCTATAGCCCCTGCTAGGCCAATGGCTGCACTGTGCCTGCCTGCCATGTGCAACCACCAAACTACAGTACATATCTACCTGGTGGCAAAGTTGTCATTGGCCAAAAGGCCAGTGGACAAAGGGACTGGTGACGACAGACCATGACCGTTTCATCAGAACGAGGCCTTCTGATTGAAGACAGGCTTGTGAAGATCTTTCCTGTGTTGCCAAAGGCGAGTGTGCGCCGATCGCAGTTGAAGTTAAACCAAAGCAATTTTTCTAAGCTGGGTGCTGTTAAAGTGCTAAGTTTAAGTCAGAAAGAATTTTAAATAGTCATTAGCAAAGTAGTGGAGTTAATAGTGGATTTCACTATCTAATTGTACAGGTATGAGCCATGCAATCCATCGAGATGTTCGAAGTCTAGAGCAGCAGGTAGGCCCGATCTTTCGCTCTTGGATTTTTACTTTGATTCAAATGAAGGTTTGCTTGCGTCATTTTCCCAAAGTGGGGCTATTTTTATGTCGAGCTTATAGTTGCTTCCTTGAAATTTGTGATGAAATTGTAGTTCCGCAGATGGTGAGAAACTTAAGAGATCAATTAGAAAAGGAAAGAACTCAACATTCATTTGCCGCAGGCCACGCAATCGCGCAAAAGATTGATTAAAATTCTTCGACAAAACCTTTTCAGAAGTATTTTTCCTCATTAACAAAAATCGTGTTGTTCTTTATCGTGTTTATTCTGGAGACGAAGAATGCGTACTATTGGAGATTTATGATTTTTATATATTTGCTCATTATTTCCAAGAAGCGACCTTCCTATCTGCGGTGACGTTTGCTTCAGCAAAATAAGTGTACAAAGTTTTAGTACAGTAAATGCATTTTCAGCAGTCAAAATTTTTTTATGGAACTGGGGCAAATTTTAATGCAAAGACCTCCGGGGCTACTCCATATCAATTCACCATTAGCAAATGAGCTTGACATCCATCATCAATTTTTTTACATTTGCTTTTGCAGACAAATATCATATGAAAATTAAGTTTAATGTATGTTGTTTCCTATTTACTTAAGCTCTATGCAGATTGGATCCACAATCAAAATCAAGTATCAAACAGGTAGAAAATGAACTGCAAATAAACAGTTTGATGTGCACCATACACTCTTTTTCATGTATGAAGAATGAGTACATATAAGAATGGTGTGGGGGACCCTGTAAGTAAGTAAATAAGTAAGTGAGTAAGTAAGTAAGTAAGTAAGTAACCGTTTTTCGTGATTGTTGTAGCAGAATGCTACGTGAAGAATTTCAATCTTCCTCTAGTTACTGTCCCGCTTTCTATTGCTTGCGGCTACAAAATTATGTTGACTCGTCGTCATCAGCAAGTCAATTTTGAAAATTTTTATTTTGGCCGTGCCAAAGGGGAAGTTGGCACATTTTTGCCAGGACGAGTTAATGCATCAGGTGGACCCTTTGGCTACAGCCGGAAGACATGTTTTTTGGTTCTGATACAGGGGGTTATGCTGTTGCAGTTTCAGAATGCCAAGCAAGGAATTCCAATTTTCCTCTAATTAGCACCCTGCTCGCTTTGCCTGCGGCTACAAAATGAGGTTCACTCAACTCAACGTCTATAGCAAGACAATTTTGCAAATTTATATTCTCCCCGTGCCAAAGAGAAGTTGGCACAGAGTAAGCTGCAGCAGCAACCATTCATCAGCTGTGTCCTTGCACAATGGAAGACACAGCTATTGTGGAAATTAAAGTTTTTTATTTGCAAACATCAGAAACCACTTTTTCGAACTTTAAAACTTGAATGAAACAATAAACTCATCTCTGCATAATCATGAACTATTGTGAATGAATGCAAATGGTTGTGAACCAGCATTAATCGCCATGAAGCAGTGTTAAAAATCATGAATCGTTGTGAGCAATCGAAAATCATCATGAGTCATAATCAGTCTGCAAAGGTCATTGTGAATCAGATGAAATGATCATGAATCTCTGTATATCATTGTAAATCAGCATACGGTAAAAGTTCTATTAAGCCCCCCTCTCTATCAAGCCACCTCTCTTTTAAGCCCCATTACCATGCCAAAATTTAAAATAAGCCCCCTTCTCTATCTAGACCCCCTCTCTAGCCCCTGAAGTCAAAGAAAGAAAACATGCCCATTGAGTGGGTCTCTCTAGTCTCAACGGGTGTGATGGCCATAAGATCATGTGTATTAGATATGGCCCATGTGAAGATTTCCTTGTGCGCTTTGGATTTCAAGAGAAAACTGTTGCTGATTCTTTTGAAGAAATCCTAGAGCATTTTGGCATTTTTATGATATATATATATGTTTATTTTGAATGATTAATAAGCCATCCTCTCAAATAAGCCCCTTTCTCAAATAAGCCCTTCATTCTGATACTGAAAAAATAAATAAGCCCCCAGGGGGCTTAATAGAGCTTTTACTGTAAATTGAAACAAATCAAGCTGAGAGATCGTACTCCACTGTCAATGTCAACAAGAGTAAATTCTCGCCGAGACCCTGTATTCTGATATTTTTTCTTTATAAACATTTTAATAGAAACGTCCAATCCTTCTTGCTACTGCTCTTTACTAAGCTCATATTACGTACCACACATCTTCTTCATACATAGCCTTTGGGCCCCTATGTTTTTATGTAAGAACAATTTAATAAGAACACAAGTTGCCTCAAAATTGATCAAAAGTTTTTTGAAAAATGTTTCTTCTCAAAATGAGGATATTTTTTCAATCTATTGAGGATTTTCAAATTTGTCTCTATAAAAGGATGCCTCACTCACTTTGTTGACAAACAAGGCCTGAGCAATAGCTAACAGTTGTACTACTCAGCCTCAGATTTTCTAAATAGAAATAAGACAGCCAGCCTGAACTTCAATCTAATGGTTTGCTGTAGCTCTAGCAATCCATTCATTTGTGTACTTTTGTGTTTCTTTTCTCGTCCACCCTTGCACTTATCTTGCTGTTACTATAGACCTTTCTCTCTAATGTTATACTTTTTACTCTGTTGTTCAACAAAAACTCAAGTGGCTAAGTTTCATTAAGAACAGTATTTTCCGATGTGATATTTTTTCTGTTTGGCAATTGTATTTTATATAGTATGTTGATATTATGTTTGGGCGAAATATGTTTGTCTCATTTGTTTATTCACAAAGCAATTGGTCTGTAATGTTTTAATTATACTTTTTTTTCTGTAGTTAAAAAAATTGTGTATTGCAAATTTGTTGAGTAAAAGGTACGATGTCCTTGTTGATTGATGTGGAATGGCCCTTCTAGTTGACAGAGGGTAATAAAATTGTTTTTTTTGCTTTAAATATGAAAAATAATCAAGTTTTAGCAGCTGGGGTAATTCTGAGATAGATTCTAGTGGTAAATTTTTAGGCCAAAATCCTTTGTCTGTTTCACTACAAAAAACCTATATTGCAGGGCAAAAATTATGTTTTAATATTTTTAATGCAGTTACCAAAGTGCAGATTTGACCAGAGAAAACTTTGAATTTTTTGAAGAATATCAAATTTACAATTATTTCAATGCTTAACTTCATTGTGCACTTATTTTCAATAGGAATATACAGTAAAATCCGGTTATAACATACTTTAAGGGACCAGCGTATTAAGTTCCTTATATCCGAAGTAGGTTGTAACCAGGGTAAGTAAAAATTGACTAAAACCAAGCACACCTTTTGCCCGGACCAAGCACACCAGTATGCTATATCCGAAAGTACGTAATAACCGAGTATGTTATAATGGGATTCTACTGTATTCTCAATATGCATAGATTTCGAATAAGAATAAATTACAATATTCATGCATTTTAATTTATCAAATTGATGAAGAATAATTTAAGTAACTTTTATTTTAAATGTTTCATCACAAGTCGTGAATTGGAGAGCAGAAGAAAAATACATGTAGTTAATTCAAAGCTTGTTTTAATGTTCATTGCAATTGATGAATGTCACAAGCTATTAGTAAGAGCAAACTATTAGTAAGATTAAACTATTAGTAAGAGCAAACTATTAGTAAGAGCAAACTATTAGTAAGAGCAAACTATTAGTAAGATCAAACTATTAGTAAGATCAAACTATTAGTAAGATCAAACTATTAGTAAGAGCCAACTATTTTATGAACTAATTTGTAATATTTGTTCAATGATGCATTCATAGCCTACTTATTTGTAATGTTGATTGATTAAAATAATGTAGTGAAGTCTATTTAAACTTGCTAGCTAGTCATACAATTCTAAATAATTTTGCTGACATGATGTATTGAAAATTGTTTTCTTTATGAGATTAATGCCATCAGTGTTTTCATCACTTTGACTGATATCTAGCTGAGGTTCAAGTCTTGAATGTGTAATGGCTGTCTTTTTTCCAGCTGTCAGCAGCAATACATTTCTTGGTAGTTACTCTTACATAGGCAGTGCCACAAACTTTCTCTTAGACAGCTAGTAGCCCTACTCCATGTATCATTTTTTCTGATCTGCCAGAATCTTACTTTTGCACTTGACCATAATTATGTAATTTATTGTTTATGGCTTACTGATTATCTATGATCACTGAGCATTATTGACAGCACTGAAAATACCTGTTCCAGTACCAAATTGGAACCAGGCTTGCACATTTTCAGAGGTCAAGAATATCTTTGGATATTCTGCCCAGCAAGTTGTTGCTACATGTTGTTTTCAGCTGTGACAGTTGTTTTGCCCTTGTTTTGCCCTGTGTTGAAGGTTGTGATAAAAACTCTTTTTGAAAAAATCTTGATGTCAAACCCAACAGTATCTAAAGGAACTTGAAATCACAATTCAATCCCATTGTTGGAATTGCTGTATTGCTTTGCACTTCTTTGCCAATGTCACCTAGATGTTGGCCTAGGGTTTAAAAGCAGCCAAGAATTGGCCTATATACTAGGTGAGCAAAAGTATTGCACTACCCCCCTACAAAATGGCTGCACTGCCGCATACCTTTTATAGCAAACCGAAATTCAAATAGCTAAAGCAAGTTAAATTAACGTTTTAAGATGACATTTAGGGTGGGAAATAATGGGAAATTTATCAAGGTAAAGTAATGAAAATGAAAAATGCAAATATATCCTTTTATTCTTCTTATTTTTAAGCCATATCAAGCTCTACAAAAACATGAAAACTGAGCTATGGTGATAGGAATACCTGTAATATATTTGCAGCAAAAACAGTACCAGTTTTCAGTTTTCAGTTTTCTTTGCACAAAGCTGTAAGATTTCATTAAGTTGAACTTGGAGATACTTACTTTTTGTTTGGTTGCCCAAAACTTTTTTTTCTGACTCTTAATACAGTACTTTCTAAAGTTATAGTCGCCTCTTTGAATGAAAATACCAAAATTTCTGTGATAAACAGTCGTAAACAGTGACCTGCCAGTATCCAAAAAACCCTCATTACGAAACGGCTGTTAAAGTGTCACTTTCTGCTAAATTCAAGGCCAATAATGATCTTCTGGGATCATAAACATCTAAATGTGATCTTGCCAAAGTTTATTCAAATTTGTCATGTGGTGTTCAAAAGTAACCTGCTGCAAAAGTTTTTAATTGAATTTAGCAAGTTTTACAAGGGTTTGATATTTTAAAAAGATATTTTTCTCAAAATTAAGATAGAAAGTGTTGCCAATGGTTTTAAGATTTGTTTGATTGAGTTTTAATCATGGAATAATGCTAAATGGCTTCATGGAAATGGTTTGAGTTTTGAATGGCATGTTGCTCTAAATGCTGGCCCCATTATTGATTTGTCAAAGTGGTGCAATACTTTTGCTCACCTAGTGTAGATTTGACCAAAAATCTAATTCGGTTCTGGCAAAAATTTACATTAAGCATATGTTAGTATGATTATGGTGTGAGGGTGGCTCAGTTGTTAGAGGCGCTGACTACAGACCCATGGGTCCTTAGTTCAAGTCCCTGGCATGACCATACTTATACCCAGAATGAGGAGAGTTGCCAGCTCTCTGTTATTCCAGGCATAGGAATCACCAGAAATAGGATGCTGCTTGATAAGCATAAGCTTCTTAGTGCTCTTAAACTACCTTCAAATGCTAGATTGAAACAAATACAAATACAAAAATACAAATAGTAAAGTAAAATTTGCTTGTAACCTACCACTATGAGCTCTAAGCATATAATCATATCACAAGGTCAAATTATTGCAACCGATTCTTGTTGCTGCTGCAACTTTCTGAGCCATGGTTGACAATTGCTTGTAAAATATGCTCAATGCACAAAAGTTATACTGCATTTTAAATATAATTATATAATTTTTGGGCATTTGTTAGATTATTAGTGAAACTAGTTTTTTTGTACTTTAGAAACATAAATTCAATACATCAGACAAATTCACTAAAATTTACTGCTGATTCATAACCTACCAAATTGGCAATTTTTCTGATTTTCAGAGGACATTTTGTCGTAAACGGTATGCTTGTACAAAATTGCAGAAACACCTGGAGAAAATACTACCTGTTTATTTTGGAAGATATTTGTCAATGAGGAATGTTTCCAAAAGTATGTACAAAAATCAATGATGGCCATCCTTTAGTTTTTTTCTCAATTCATATAAGTTTTTACACAGGTTTTACTTTTTTTTCATTTCAATCTAACTATTTGCTTATTTTTTTTAAGGTTGCTGGTCTGGACTTGAACATCCCAAGAGGGACGTCACCAAAGGACGGCCCACATTCACATCAGGAAGGTACTGAATCTTCAACCTAACCTCATTTATACTACAACTTTTACCTGGGTTGTACTTGGGTTAACTTTAACCTGGGTTACATATTTCATAGTGTAAACACATCCAACCTGGGTTGAACCTAGGTAAAACGAACCCTATTCTGCAGGTAGGTTAGACCTAGGTTGACCCCAGGTAACAATCTTAAAAATGCAGTTAAAACGCAAACCTAGGGTTGAACCCAGGTTAATGATGCGATTCCCATATGTGACTCTCAAGCTACCCATTAAAAGGCACCATTGCACAAAGTCATTGTCAAAACAGAAGTTATCTTGGCTCAAGGGAAGAAGCCTTTCAATCCAGAACAACAAATTTTGAAAATGAATGAAGCAAAGACCAAGAGAGACCCCCTGGGGGAGGAAAAGTCATGATATTTATAGAAATATGGGCAGCTGGAGGAACCCTGCAACAGCTATATTCTTCTACAAAAACCAGCTTGTATTCGAAAAGGTTGCAAGGAAAATACAAGGGGAAGGTGGATAAATTTGTACCACAGTGAATTCACTCCCTACATCAAATTCTAAACATAAGAAACAAAACTGCCCCTCAAATAGAACAGCCTCCTCGATCTTGTAGGTCTAGAAACACTGTTAAAACAAATGATACTGCCATCGGCCAACATCTTTTAGACAACCCAGATTATGCAAAACTCTATTATGACGACATGTTTCGGATAATTGGCAAAGCCCGGTCGTCCTTCCATCTAGCAGTTTTGGAGTTGATCTTCAAAAAACGAAAAAACTGCCATTGTGTAGACAGAAGGAGTTCGTTTTCTCTCTTGGATCCATCGGTAATTTTTCTTTAGGCTTGCGGCACAGATTGGTCAACTATACCGGTCTTGTGCTTGAGTTTTTCTGATTGGCCAATTTTGATCCACAACTGGGTATATATTTTCCATCGTGTTCTTTCGGAATCTTATTCTGACGTTTTATGCTCTGAGGAGTGTCAGACCAAAAAGCTTTTAGTATGTCGTAAAATGTTTGCTTTTTTCAAAACCATTTTCAAACTTTTAATCATTCACAATGATAGACAGGATGATAATCAGAAAGCTGTGGTTTGAAAAAAAGACAGCTGGGGTTTAGTCCTTTAAAAATGAAACAAAACTCCACCTGAACACTTTGACTTTCTGGACTCAAGGGCTGGAAAGTAAAATTAACTGACACATACGTCACTGGAGACAATTCTGCATCTATTTTATCTTCCTCTGATTGATTTTACAAACCAATTAATGATTTGGCCAGTCATGAAACTCACCTCTGGCATCCCTTATCAGACATGTCCATGTCACACACACCTTTTAATTTGCTATGAAGGTATGCATTGTTTCAATTGTTTTTCTTTTTGCCAGATAGTATTGTAACCAAACTGGAAATCATGCACTGCTATGCACTTACATCAACAAACTACTCTGTTTTCTTTATCATATCAGTTCAGGAGCAGATATGAAGAGATGTAACTTCCCAAAACATATGCAAAGATAAACTTTTCCTGCTCCACATATCATAAATTCACATACCTGCTGCTTCACAGTCCATAAGTGTGGTAGCATTTGTGGACAAGGGCTCAGCCTACTCAAGCTCGAAAGTCAAAGTTGCAGCTTAAAACCTACTATTTATTAATACCAAAGCATGTACATGATATAGAGCACTTTAGGACTGACCATGGAAAACTTATGCCAGTACTTTTCATATCTATTCGTTTTCTTCGTGAGACAGAAGTGCTGTTGCCCAATACGTAACCATATTTAGCTTCTTCATTTAACTCAGTCTCATATTACATTTTTAGATAGACCTGAATATTTCTATTAAACTTGACATGACATGACATTATTGACCTGACATGTAAGAATTCAAGACAGACTTAAAAAATTCATTCAAATCAATATAGTAAAGGGAGATATTTTATGAAATTGATAAACAGTATTGTTTTTTAAACCACATTTTGAACTTTTTTCTACTTTTCTCTATTAAGCCGGAAAATACGTTCCACCTCATTTAAGGGGAGTAGACAGGAGAAGTGATTCTTACAGCCAACATCAGCAAGGAGGACCTCCTCAAGGCAGTTATAGAGGTTTGTGTCTTTTTGTCATGCTGTAAGGGGGTTCTTCTTCTGCATAAATTCATTTGTTGTGAGTTTGTGTGGCTTTATGGTCTTTATGTATTCTAGTCATTTATGTATTGATCCTCACTGATGCTGTTTACTGATATTTTTGAAAGGCCCCAATAGCTACAGGTTAACCGTTACAAGGGAGAACTGAGATTTACAGTTTGGCTGAATAAGGTTGTGGCGAAAATCATGTTAGGCAGGCCTTTTGTAAAGAAAGTTTCACAATGCAACAAACTGCTTACATGGATGTGTTCACGAGGGTGATAGCCCATCCAAAAATGTTTGTCAAAGGCAAGTATTAGGGTATCTACTGCACCTGACTGCCTAGCTTTTGATTTTCTAAATGGGTCATTAGCGGTGATTTGTAAACAACCTATTTGGTGGCAATGCTTTGTCATGTGAGAAATCAAGCAATGATGGTTTGTTTTTATTAGCAACTTGACTTTCACTTAGGATTACTGCGATTTATAAAGGAACTTACTTTTCCGTAATTGCTCTTGCGGGCGACGGATTGTTTTGCACGAGTGGTCAATAGCTCGCACCAATAATTTGGCGTGAGCAAGGGCAATTGTCCGCGTGAAACGAAAAGATCTGATGTAAAGATTATATTGTAAAAAAAACAAAAAAAGGTTTGGACAGTTATTATCTTTTCAATCTTTTTATTTTAAGGATGTATGCAATTTTCATTGTGTTATCATTTAGTTCTTCTTCAACCATGCCAGTTTTTATGTGAAATTGTAGTAAGGAGGTATCAGAACTGCGACTTAATGGCCTTGCCTGTTTTGTGCAATTAATTTCCTGTTTTATGTTTTGGTGAAATCACACATTCAAATTGCCTTTCTTGTCAAAGGATAAGAATCTTGCTATCAGAGATGCTATGTACCAGTGATCTTTGAATCTACAATGTATGGAAATACGTTTTAAGGAGAATATTCTAATCAAAGATTTGATGAAGTCTTTGACAAAGTTCTTTTTCTCTACTTTAACTTACAGGGCTGTTTACAAAAAAGAGATTCTTTAGCGGCTTCATTTGAAATGTCATTAATTGCCATGATTTACCTTGCTCAGATTTTTCTGGCCAACCAAATCGAAGCTTACAAGGTGGTTATGGAGGTAGGCAAGATAATTATCGTTCCGGACGTGGTGGAGGCTATGGTGGAGGATCCAACTGGAACAGAGGCTACAACAAGGGGTCTGGTGGTGGTTACAATTCTCAAGGTTATGGTGGAGGCGGTGGTTATGACAATGACAGAAATGTATACAATGGTTAGTAGTGTTTTGTATTTGTTTCTCTACCTAGCATCCAAGAGTGGTTTGTAGGACATTGAGAAGCTTTCCTTATCGAGCAGTGTCCTGGTACTTCCTCTTGATGTGACGACACCTCGTGATTCCAGCACCTGGCATTGCAGAAAGCTGGCAATTGTCAAAGACTGGAACCCCTTGAAACTTTTGACCGCGAACCTAACCACTAATTTAATGCCACTAAACATGGTCCTCAGTTTACCTTTTACTATTAACATGGCAATTCTTCAGATTTATTTGAAGTCACTTTGCCTCCTATGTTTTCTCTTACTGTCAAAGCAGTATAGGGGTTAAAAACCTAATAATGTAGTGATTGTAAAGAGATTCTTATACCTGGAAGACATATTTTTAGGAACAAAACAATTGGCTGACTTTAAGGGGTCGTGGAAGGATGAAAATTCCAACTTTACCCTTTACCTGCGGGATTTTTCTTTCGACCAGTAAATTTACTGTACCTACTAAATTGATGTCTGGTAAAATTTCTAGTTGCTGTATAATTACCAACATTTTACTCATAATAATTAGTCTCAAGCTTAAAGGCACTTGAGACGATAAAAGAATCTCTAAATTTGGATTAAGGTAGCACGAACATTTAATCTTTTCGTAAGAAGTAAAGCAATATCAAAGCATAACCAGTATTAAGTCTTGGATATATTCAATGATAAAAGAAATATTCTTTCAAGTCGATTATGAACGATTCTTCTCCTTTCTGCTTCGTCCATTTAAAAGCCTTTTACTGCAGATCTTTCACAATATAGAAGCATAAAAAATTGAGCATATTCCTGTGACCTCCATCTTGTAAACTTTCTTACAAATCAACACACTTTCCAAGTGCCTTGAAAACACTTTTTGATTTGCTGATCAACAAGAATTTGTTTTTGCGCCCCGCACATTTGCGATTTTCAGTTTTTAGTGGCTGGCGACAAATATCCTGTGATTTTTTTCCCCGCAGACTAGAGATTTTAGTTGCCAGCGACAAAAATTGCCGTCGCTGGCGACAAAAATCGCTAGTGTACGCTAGGCTCTAAAATCCCAAAACTCCTAAACCATAAAATTAACATATTTGTTATTGAATTTTCCAGCCTTTGGATGGGGAAGGGGGGCGTCACGCCCCTATTTATCTATTATTTACATGCTTGATTATTTTTGTCACAAGCATGAACTTTAAAGAATTTGTTTAAGATTTAATGAATGCTTTATGAGCCAATGTTTTAGTTGATAAAATGGCATTGCGGTATGAAGGGTGATAATAGTAAAAATGTGCGAATAATGATAGTGATCTCATATAATTGCTATTTATTATAGTATTTATTGATAATTAAGTGAACTGGTTTTGTTATGGGAGGTTATGGGAAATTTTTAATTGTTTGCCTAGCAATTTTGATCTTTCTATTGCGCTACAAAGCCAATGCATTTATGGCTTTTGCTTTTGAAAATTTTTGGTTTAATTTGCACTCACTTGCATTATTTGAATTATGGCTTTAACCGCTGTGATGACTACAAAAATTTGGGTCGTTTTTTAAACCTTTTTGTTACAAATATTTTTCATAAGTTGGTCTTTCTCAATGATTTAATGTCATGTTTAGTTGAGTTCAAGATTTTTTTATATAAGTGATGTATTGCAGAGCGTTGCACCTAGTCATTCGTTGATTTGAGCCATCGTCACATTGCTAAGGCTTGTACGTGACAATTACTACATGCGACCCGCAATGTTGCATTTCAGATGAGGGCCTTTTTGACGCACAACCTATATTATCCTAGAATTACTCTAACACAAGTTTACAGCTGAATAACATTGCTATTATTGTAATATTTTTTAAGTAATTAGAATTCTTAAACTGAAGAATTTTTTTGATTTTTGAATGATTTAAGGAAACCTTGACTGGTCAAAGCCACTACCACGAAATGACAGGCTCGAAAGGTATTTTGATATTTCTTTGTAACTTGTTTTATTTGCTATTTCATCAGTATTACGTGTTTGTACTATATTTGAAATTTGTACGGCACTAGCAAACATGCTCACTTTATATCTTCATTTCTTTCAAATTTTTTGGGTCCTTTGTCTCTTACCTTTTTCATTCCACTCTGTCAGCATGGAAATTTATTGTTGGGGCAAAATGGCTCGGCAAATACTAAATGTTTAATTACCAGCATCTTTAATAATTGATTAAAGATTATATGTTTCAATTTTAAATGTTTATTTGCAAAAATAAATTTATTTGCGATAATGTTTCTAATGCCCTTGGTGTTAAGTAGAGAATTTGCCTTCTTTCGTCTTTGAAATCGTTCCATTTCTCTTCTTTAGAGAGTTATTTGGTGATCGATCCACAGGAATCAACTTTGACAAGTATGAAGACATTCCTGTAGAGGCGACAGGAAATGATTCTCCACAGAATATTGAGACTGTAAGTTTAGTTTTGTTAATTCCAGATTATAGTACTGGAGACTTGCCAACATTATTTCATTTACCGCAACATTGCTTCTTAGCTTTTCTTTTAAGGTTTGTTCATTTGCATAATAATTTTGCTTTGAGCGCGAAAGGATGATGAAAACCTACACTACATCTACAGCTACCTCTGAAAATTATTCCCTTATGCTGCTTTGTTTGAGGATAAACCAGGCTTCTTTACCTTTTCAAATACCAAAAGTGAATGAATACATGTATGATTAACGGTTACTTAGTGACGGTTAGGAAATAGTAGATTAGCAGCTCATTTTATTTCTTGCATACTGGACAATTGCATGGCAGGCTGGATGCTTAAGTTATCAACACGAAAAAATAAAGCCAGCGGTGCTTGGGTTCTGCAGTATAGCACCCAACTAATTCAATCACGTGTCCTCTTTGCTTCTTCTACTATAGGCTTGCCAAAGCAGCTGGTATTGATGCTGTTGATACAAGTCTTTTAGATGATACAAGAGTTTTGTAATTCATCTTGTCAGCAGTTATTGCAGAACGCGCTTTTGCAAGACAAACGTCAATTTTTTTATCATACTTGCGGCAAAGTGTTTCATCTCTAGGTTACTCAGTAACGCGCATTTAATTTGATGACAAAGCGGTAGAAACGCTTACCATAAAATGCATATTCCGCATATTGTGCATAAACATGTCGCTGCAAATTTATTTGGAAACGTTTCTCATCTTGAAAGCTTATCTCAAAAGAATGAACTTAAGATGGACATTTCAGAAGAGAAAGGGCCTATATTTATTCTCAACCAGGCTTCTTTTATCGTGGTACTCATTTTTACTGAAATGTTAGTGAATGCCTTTTATTTTTCATTTTAGTTTGAAGAGTGTGATTTTGGGGAAATTTTGGCAGAAAATGTAAAGGTAAGACCCGTTCTTTAGAAAAAGACTTTAAGAAGTGCAAGCACTTGAAAAAGAGCTTTTTCATTTATTTTTTAAAAAAAGTTCTGCTGTGTGCTACATTAATGCTAGTGCTGCGCAATGACAAAAATAGCACTGAATAATCAATTTTGTGGTTACCTAAGATGAGTTTATGGACAGTTCGCCACGGCTTCTATGTCATAACTTTGCTTTTTCCTCTAGCTGTGTGGTTATGCAAAACCAACCCCTGTTCAAAAGTATGCCATACCCATTGTTAGAGAAAATAGAGACTTAATGGCGTGTGCACAGACTGGTGAGTAATTTTTAATGCTGCTTACCTTAGTTACTTCTTGCATCGATAGTGACTGCTGCAATTTCTTGAAAATTGTATCGACAAATGATAAACAATTTGGCAGGCAATATTTTTTAATGGAGAAACTTATGTGAAATACATATGTGTGAAATATTATGTGAAATTTGTTTTATTCAAGAAGTCAATTTCGCAAATCTTCTGTTGAGAATAATATCCTTTTAGTGAAGGACAAAGTCGAAGATATCCAAGGCTCACATTCTAAAGCTGAATTGCAAAATTGAATGCAGTTTCTTTGAAGCTTTATGTATTCAAATATAATTGTTTTCCATGCTGCAAGACGCTTTTCACTAAAGGCACGCTCTGTTTTTGGTCGCTTTGTGTCTTTCCTGCGATCTCGGCAAGTGCTTTCATGTGAATTATTTTGAAAAATTTCGACAGGCTACAAGCGATTTCTTTTTTGACAGGATCTGGAAAGACTGCTGCCTTTCTTTTGCCGATTATGAATAGAATTTACAAAGAAGGACCTTACGGTCAGAATTACGGGGTAAGGCAATTTTTTATGATTCTTATTTTAAGCCCAACGTCGATCATGAAACATGTAGTCAATTAATGGCACTCTCGTGAATGAAATTTGTCGAAGCCTAGCTCATCCACAGAGAAATTAGTCATTAATGTACTATTTCCTTCACACCAGGGCTGAGCAACTTGCGGTTTGCTGGCCATATTTGACCTTTCTGCAAATTTCTATTGTCCCTACGACCTTCAGCATTCTTTTTAGAAGAGGGTTCATAAAAAATTCTTAAGGCCAGTCGATAGAAAGACCAGTTTGACAAACAAAATAGCATGGAAATTGTTTCATTTTCATTTGAACTCATTCTATGCAGCATGAAATTCATTCCCTCTCTTACAAAATTTCCCCATTCATCGATGTCTAGAATTGTTAATATCAAATCATTCTTGGCATATAAATTCCCGCTCAGTTTACTTTTATTGTCAACCTGTCAATTAAACTTTATAATTCGTGTCCCAGACTTATTCGGCCGTTGGAGCCCGTTTATTATTCGAGTTTTAACTCAAATCTCTTTCTGATATTTCTTTTCCGGGATTTTCAAAATATTCTCAGCTAAAAAAACACTGGTGCATTTTTCTTACATTTTATCTTTTTCTGAATATTTCTTTCTTGTTAGTTTAGGCTCGGAATTCCTCCTGCAGATAAATTTCTCTTAACATTAGTTTATATTTCTTTGATTTGTCTTACCTTGTAGGCTGGAGGAAAACCTGGTCGTAGAAAGCAGTTTCCTTTCTGCTTGATTTTGGCTCCAACAAGAGAGTTGGCATCACAAATCTATGATGAATCTAGAAAGGTGAGTTCTGTTATATGCTGTTTTTAATTGAGTTGCTTGGTTGTAATACGGACGTTCAACTGGATGTCATCATGGAAATCATCATGGATGAGTCTAGGATGAATTAAAACGATTTTCCATGTATTTGATAAATGTCTAGACAAACAAAAGTATCGTTGAAGATCAAAGTTAACAACCTTCCTAAATGGTTCTAAAATGAAAGTCTCGTTCTTCCCTGGATAAAACAAAACTTAATTTCTGTTATTTGTAACTCATCAAAATTCACTAGTTAGATGAAGGAAACATATTATATTGGTCGTTTGACCTACAAGGATGCCTTTTCAAGAACAATATTGCTGGCTAAGACATGATAAAGCGTCATCCCATTTGTAGCAGGTAATTGCTCAGTTGCTCGGTATGTTAAAAACGCCTAATAGAAATTATCACAGGGTCACTTTTCTAGTGGTGAGACATGCCAAAAATAAAAGACGCCTGTTTGATTTGTTGCAATGCCCAGTTAGATCCGCCAGTGTAAAATCTGCATATGCTGTCCGCCACACATTTCGCCACATTGTCTGTTTTGTTGTCGTTTACTTCGCCTTCCTGATTGCAGGCTAGAGATCTAGCGCCAGAAATGTTTAATCGACACAATCTATTAGGAACGACGTGAATCGTTCAAACTGTAGCATGCCAGAATCTGCAAACTGCTTTAAAGGGGAAGCAGTCGTTATTGAATTTTAAGATAAAATGCGAGAAACATAAACAAATTCGCATTTATTGGTGTGTCTTAAATTTGTATACAAGGTGACTATGTCATTCTGTATGAATTATACTCTAACTAGAATTTCTGTAAAAATATGATTTTGGCGATTTTGTCTCGTTCTAGTTCGCGTATCGGTCAATGCTACGTCCCTGTGTTGTATATGGTGGTGCCGATGTTGGTGCCCAAATGAGAGACTTGGAGCGTGGCTGTCATTTGCTCGTTGCCACTCCTGGTCGTCTCGTGGATATGATACAAAGAGGAAAAATTGGACTTGAGTCAATCAGGTTTGTAAGTTTGCCCTTGCTTTCTGGTGATTTATTCTAGTGTTTTTAAGGGACATACGCAGCAGCTAATCTAGCAAAAGCAAAAAAAAATGCATTACCTCTATCCTAATGTGCTGATTGTGGTTTCTCACCTAGATTTATGGTGCTTGATGAAGCTGACCGAATGCTGGATATGGGTTTTGAGCAACAGATTCGCGAAATTGTGGAGAAGTGTGACATGCCCCCACCTGGTCAAAGAGAGACCTTAATGTTCAGTGCCACTTTCCCTAAAGAGATCCAGGTTGGTAGACATAGCTGTTTATAAGGGAGAATTTTGTACTTTTTTAGTGAAAAGAAGTATGTTCAGTTTTGTTTTGTGAATATGGTAATGCTGTTGCAATATTTAATGTATGATATCGTTTATTCCTAAAGCATCTGTTTCGAAAAATTTTGTTCCAGGCAGATGGTGTTTGTCACCAATGGAGTTACCAATTTATGCATTTGTTGCCAGGCCTTTTTCCATTTTTTAGGGGACAGTTTCGAAAAAAACGAATTTTACGAACTTGTGTGCAAAGTTGCTCTAAGTAGAGAACTATATGAAATAAAATCATAGAAAATTGTTTCTAATTGCTTCATCTCCAATAGTCAAGGCCCTTAGAGAATAGTTTGCATTTTTTGATACCAGCATGACAATTGATAAACCAACACTGATTAATTTGTAAAACTGAGACCTTACCGCAAGATTTCCACCGACAAGTATTGTAGAATCGCTTCGGATTCTGGTCCTTTTTAACAAATCATGCCGTACTCTGCTATAAAAGGCACTGGCCTTTGGTTTCATTATTCGAAGTTGTGTTGTGCCTAGCAATTATGCACCTTCAATAATGAGGCTTGCACAGCTCCTTGTGTGCGGTTGTCAATTCGCCTTTCTGTCCAGATCTATCGGTTGCCATGAAAACCTAAAGATACTTATGACTATGAAACATTTTTCTTTTATCAGATGCTTGCCCGAGATTTCCTGGACAATTACATATTTTTAGCAGTCGGCCGAGTTGGATCTACAAGCGAAAATATCACCCAAAAGGTTGTGTGGGTAGAGGAAATGGACAAGCGTTCATTTCTACTTGACCTGCTGAACGCCTCAGGTAAACCTTATTCGCCTTCAATGGTTACAATATAACACTTTGAAGCTGCCAAATAATTGTTTTAATGTGAAGCTGAGAATAAAATAAGTGTCACCTAGGCCATAAGACAAAGCCATATATTTAAAAAAAGACATGAACTGTTAATACATCAATCCTCGTTAAGGTCATGTGTTTAAAACTTCCAAAACAAACACTGTTCGTGAAGATTTTTCTGATTCAGTTTAGCTTATTGAATTGATAGACAGGTTAAGATATTATTGGCTCAGGGTGATGCGAATAAACTTAATCGCCCAGCTACTGTCCTGCCTTAGATGGAAGTTTAAATCGTTTCTCCTATGGTACCAAAACAGCAGATTTTACCATATGATCAACCTTGCTACTGAAATGCCATTCAAAATTTTTGTACAGTGGCCTTAGAAACAAATTGTAATTTGAAAATCAATTCTGAAATGGTGATAACATTAAGAGGCAGTTGGAGGGCCCCTTCTTGTAAAATGCACATTTTCGAAGTTGCTTTCCTCTTTAAGGTCCTGATTCTTTGACCCTTGTTTTCGTGGAGACAAAAAGAGGAGCTGATGCCCTTGAAGATTATTTGTATAGAGAAGAATACAATGCAACATCCATTCATGGAGACAAATCACAATATGAAAGAGAGGTTGCCTTAGCCTCTTTCAGAAATGGAAGAACTCCAATCCTCGTTGCAACTGCAGTACGTTCATCTTTAATCTTTGTATTAGCTTTCGTTTTTTCTCCACCTTAACGATATATGCAAAGGATATGTGCGATAAAGCTAATTATCAAATCTCACATATCAACAGAAGCATATAGCATTTCCATAGTATAATATTTTATTTTTTGAGACCTGTTGTTTATTTTTCAAAATTCTTGGTCTATTTGTTTTTTTAGATGCGCAGATAACTAAACCTCGTATCAATAATCTATGTTGAATTTACCAAATTAAAGATTTAGCCCCAGTTTCAAAAGAACATTTCTTACACTGGTTTCGATCATATACTTACTTTAAACGCAGGTGGCTGCTAGGGGTCTTGACATTCCAAACGTGAAGCATGTGATCAACTTTGACATGCCAACAGATATTGAAGAATACGTACACAGAATTGGAAGAACCGGAAGAGTGGGACACACTGGTGAGATAAGCGGTGTACAATGTTATTTGCATTCATCAACTTATGTATCATTCATATCCTGTTCCACAGAATTATTTGTGTAAAGCTGCCCTTGTTAGTTCAATCCTTTTGATCTAGGCAGGGGTTCTGTAATGCACAACCTTAGTACGCATATGCATTGGCTTTTCTGTGCCTTTTATTTAAGTCTTGCAATATGATCTTATTATATTTATGTACCCGCTAGCTTTAATAGGGCATCATCAGTATATTTCACATTGCTGAAACTTTTATCACCGTGGCAGTCTCAATGTGCAGAAGCCTAGAAAGTGTTTTCCTTCCTCCCAAAAAAGTTACAAATAGCTACAAATTATGTTACTATCTTACATTGAAATCTAAGACGAAGTATCGATTTTTTTCTTAAAAGATTAAAATAGACTGATTTCGAGTACTTCAAAGGCCTTGTAACTCTAATTGGACGGGAAACACACGACGGATAAAAAACTTATGTGATTTAACATTGGCCATTGCCACTCTGTTACCAGTCAAGTCGTATCATTCTTGATTGCTTCATTGAAAGACCTTTTTCAAACAGGATTAGCAACGTCTTTCTTTAACGAGAAGAACCGCAACGTTGCGCGAGATTTGATGGACCTACTGACGGAAGCAAAGCAAGAAGTGCCTAACTGGCTTGAGTCTATGGCCTACCAAGCACAACAACACCAAGCTGCCAAGAGGGCTCAGCAAAGAGGCAGGTTAGTGTTACACAGGCTGTTGACATTTTTACAATGCAAGCAACGTGCCACTTTTTGTTTACTGGGTTATAGCTACGAATTGATAAGTAATATGTTTATTTTTGGAAATTTGATTGGCCTAATTATCCCGGCTAAACTCGCTGGAAATTCGTTTTTATCTTAAACTTTAGAATATTATTTTATCCGTTTGTTAGTTTTCTCCAGCACAGAATTTTGGTTGTAAGGAAGTACGTGTCTATAGCTCTGTTTTCACTACAACTTTTAACCTGGATTAACGCTAAGCTGGGTTGAACCCAGGTTGAACCCACTTTCGTCGTTGACACTACATTGACCATAAAGTTTGTAAACGCAAAGGTGGGTTGACCCTGAGTTAGTGACGCCACGCATGCGCTTCGTTGTGAATGGCGCTAGATGAGAATGTTAGGAATGCACTTTTCAAGGCAGGTTTTTATGCTGAAGATCATCACCATGTTGTATTACCAAATTCTAAAGTTGAGCAATGTACGACGAAGAAGACGACGGGAGAGATGGTACCGGGAAACTGCAAATCGAGTAGAAACATATTCAAGGTTGAGGTCAAGAAGGAATCAGATAATGTTTCAGAGCCTAATTTCGGAGTTGTCCCGAACAAGATCAGTTGTGAGATCAGTCTGGAGCAGGCAGAGGAGTGGAAGCTGGTGGGATGTTATTGTTGAAGGAGGTTTTGAAAAAAACGACTGGATAAGTAACTTTAGAATGAGTCGTAGTAGATTATTTTGCGAGACAAGACACTCGATTTCGACATGCAATGAGTTCTGCACATTCATGGCTGAGATTATGCTATCCAGCTACACACGGATACCAAATTTTGATGATCTCGACAAGATAGTTTAAACTGTTGAGCAGAAATGGGACTTTCCACAATGTGCAGGAGCTGTGGATGGCTCAGACATACCGATTAAAGCCCCAGCTTCATTTCATGTTGGTTATTACAATCGTAAATGATGGTATTCCATAATTTTAAAAGAATAAGTCGATTATATTGACATCAATGTTGGTTGGCCTAGGGAGTTCATGATGCTCGAGTTTTTGCCAACTCAGCTATTTTCAAGAAAGGAGAAGCTGGCAAATTATTCTGAAGCCAAAGCCAATGAGATAAATGGGGTGAAAATTCCAGTCGTGATACTTGCCGATGTAGCTCATCCATTGTTTTATTGGCTTCAAAAGCCCTTTCCTGATCATGGTCATTTATCGCGTGAAAAGTTGCACTTTAATTACCGGTTGAGTAGAGCAAGAACGGTGCTTGAGAATGCCCTTGGTAGGCTTAAGGGAAAATGGCTTTGTCTTCTAAAACAGAACGAGGGGGTCATTGAAACAATGAAAAGTGTTGTTGCTATATGCTGCATTTTGCATAACATATATGAAATGTTTCCCGTACCCATACCATAAAGAGTCTGACCCGGACCTGTAACCACTGGTTGACCAAATACGGCATGCAGGCACCTTGCAAGTAATTACCAGATTAAGAAATGCAGACGAAGTAAGGAATGCTTCTAAGAAGTTCTTGGTGCAGTATCGCCAGGATACAGATATATAGGAAAGAACAAACCAAACTTGTTTATTTTATGCCATTTGAAAAACATTGGCTGTACTAATAAATCTTAAAAAACACACTTTACATACTTAACATCTGTTTAAAGCAACTTCCTTGGTATTTATTTTTTTAGAAAAGGCTAAGAATTTTTGATAGTACAGAAATGTTCTCAAATTGTAAAACTTTAGTGCTCGGAGTTTATGAAGGTTTCATAATGCCCTTGGTGTTTGTGTCCTATTGTACTTATGTTAACATTTCTAGACAAAGTTTTTGAAGCTTTCCCATGCTTTGATTTTATTCAAGCTACTTTTAAGTAATGTGAAATTCAAAATAAGTGAAAATAGTGCAAAACTTTGCTAATAAATTACCTTGTCAAAATAGATAGTTTCGATATGTTTTATCTACAAACAAGTACTGAAGAGATCAGATTATTTACAACAATTGTAAATGCAAGAGGTTACAAATGATAAATACAAGCATACAGATTAAGCCATAATTAATAACATAGCCATGATTAGAGAATTTGTATGAAGGGAAATATTTATGGAGCGGCCCCTCTCAACGCCACATTTTTTTGGAAATCTAAATTATTAAATATATATAATCAGGAAAGTTATTGGCAAATAGACAATCTGTAATCTACTTTAATGATCTTCTTCAAAAGGTAGTCTCCGAGTCTTTTACAAAAAATGGCAATGTTATATTGATAGTGATATCATTCCAGCTCGTTGTTCCATAGTATTTCATTGATCTGACACCATATTCATTAGTGTCAGTCTGAGTTAACAAAATATCATCATTGCCAGCCTGCCTATGTACAATACCATAATAATGAATAGATGCCACAGATATATTGAAGTTATGGAAACAAATAGGGGATATTTTATGAACATATAAACACGCTTAGAAGTTTTAGCTGAAAAAGATCATGAAGCTTTAAAAGTTTTAAATTTGAGAATATTAGTAACTGCGAACTGAAAGTTGAGATTTCTTATCAACAATGCTCAAAAATATATATCTCCAACTAGAAAAAGGGAATCAAATTAACTGTGCCTAACAACCGTAATAAACCCCTTCAAAATTGAATTCTAGCCCTTTCAACTCTATGAGACACCAACTTAGCTTCTGAGGAAATGAAAGAAAGAACTTGGCGTGGCAAAATCAATGGATAAGGAAAATCGATAGTATTATTCATTGCGCAGATATTAGGTACAATAGGTTTTTTTAACTCTGTGATGTATCTTTATAGAGATGTTTAGCTGAATTTTACTTGCTGCAGTCTGTTCTTTGCTGAACAGCGAGAAAACAACGTTTACTCTACGCCTCACTCTTCAAATATCTTTGGATCAAACAACCAAAAACATAGAGAAAAGCAATAAAACCTAACTAGAATAGAAATTACCATGAAAAGTAAATTTGTGATTCATTCACATATGTCAAAGAATTTCAGAAAGCATGAGAAAATTGAGAGTTTTCATGGATTTGTCTCAAAACATGGATTAAGTTGGTCGCGTACATAAGTTGGTCCCTGAAGAGCACATCTCAAAATGGTCTTGGGGTGGAATCCTGCCATGTCCAAATGCCTGGCGGGAATGTCTGGTGGAGAGAAAAACATGGAATGCGCTATGGCTAAAGTGTACTTTGTCAGTGTTCAGTAAACTCTTTGATTAGCATCTACAAATAACAGTCAATGCAAAAATAATCAATATTTTTAAAGTCATTACTATAAACAAAATTTTCCTCTTATTTTTCTGAACTACAGAACATGTTATACCTACTCTGGTGTAGTTTTAGCTTTGCTGCATTTGGCTATAGTTGGTTGCTGGGTAGTTCCCAAATATGGATGAAGCTTTGGCAAACATGATGAAGCTCGGCCATGATCTTCATCGTCAACATCGCCGGACCTGAAACTTTTCTGACCTGATGCTTTCATAGTATTTGAAGCTCTTCCGATTGCTTTCAGATTTATTATTATTGTCCTTGAGTTTAATTTTCTCCCTAACTTGAACAAATGAACGTATGTATTTCCCTCCCCCTGCAGTCTTCTTGCAATCTTTTCAAATATAGGATACTTTCAAATATAGGATACGTTGCTGAATGCCTTTGTCCGCCCATATTTTGATTAACGGCATGACTTCGTCGTCGCCCCCAAATATACCTCGTTCGGCCTTCACTTCATTCCTTTTTAAGATATGTTGCTCCAAGACGAGTTTTGTTTTGACTGTGTGTTTTGGCGCCTTTTGATGCATGGCTCGAAAAGCTCATGTGCAGACTAGATCGTTTGTCATGTATTTTTAAGATATGGTCGTTAAACCTGAAAAAATCAATAGGAAGTTTTATGTCTTCTTTCTCAAAGACCCAGATTTCCTTAGTGTACGTAGTTTATAAAGCAATATAAAGTTTTAAATTTGCTTTTGCGCATTCAAGTCTTTGATGCAATTGTTCGTCATATCGTAACGCATTTGCATAACCAAGTATTTATTATTTAATATACCGAGATGTGCGTTTCCTCTCAGATATAATAAGTATATTGTTAGCTATTCCAAAAGCAATACCTGATTTTTTACTAATCTAGAATTATATTTGTCAGTATCAAAATGTCACTGATTGTCAAAATGTTAGGATTACTTAAGTAACCGTGTTCTTCTCTTCTTATATGAAGGTACGGAGCGGGTGGTTTTGGGAGCAGGGATTACCGTCAGTATCAGAATCGCGGCAATCAAAACCAAGGTGGCTACAGGTCAGGCCACGATGGTAGTCAGGGTTACGGCGGCAGTCGCGCTGGCTTTGGCTTTGGTGGTGGTGGTGGTGGCGGCGGCGGTGGCTTCAACAACTTTGTCCAACAGAACCATCATTTTAGCCGTGGGCCTCCTCCAAACGCACGTCCTGCAGCCGACGATTGGTTTGACAACTAAGGCTTGACTGCCAAAGACCAGAACGTGCAGCAGTGTTTGTATTTTCATTATTAGCGTACTATGCCTTGTTCAGTCAGTTTTTGTTGGTAAATCGGGGGATAAAAGAGACATCTATATGCGAGCTTTGCTAATGCACGGAGTACTTGTCGCTATCAAGATTGAGGTTGAATTAAAAATGCATGTTTATCCAGAGATCAGACGAAACCAATTGTTGCTTATCACTGCCTGGTGACTATGCTTGTTATTCCACAGTAATTACATCCTGACTTGTGCATTTTCATGCATCTCTTGTATCAATATAGTTTGGCGGTTCGGTGGAATGACCATTCACCTTAATCCAAATCAACGTGGCGCATTCTGCCGGAAAGAAAAAACTCACCTAAAAAGCAACGATTCGCCAAATCTCTGGATACTTTTCACTTTATCTTTTTTCTGCGTGACTGCATATCCAGTCAGCCTTTCCCTCCGAAATCTTTTTACCTTAGTAAATATGTAATGTTCTTCTTGGGACCTTACAACGGAGAGGTCCAACTATCATTAAATGGTTGATATCTGTTATTACATAGCTCGTATCTAGGGTATCATGTTTTGCAATTTGAGAGCTGGTAAGAAATGTGCCATTATTTGGCTGTTTCGTGTTGTATTCCGTAAAGTGTGTCAGAAGATTTTAGTAGCTATATTTTGAAATTAAGTGCTGTGGCTAATGTATCACAAGTAGCTTAACTCAGTATGGGGCTCTTTTTTACCATTGTCGGAATTAAAGTTGATGTCAGAAAAATGTATTAAAACAGCGTCTACATCCTAAGACACAAGGAATAGAAGTTTGGAAACCTACTAGGGCCCTTTGAAAATCCAACATTCAGAATATAGCTTGTGGTTTCATTTTATTTTCATTGAGTCTCTATATTGTGACGCACGTAAAAAACAAATGCTTAAGTCAGGTTTTTGAAATTATTCATTTGACTAGTGTTTTTGAAATCTGAAAATAAGGTAATTTATGAAGCTGGATTAATAATCATTTGTAGCCGAAAAGAAATGACAGTGACTAGAATTATTTGAATTTCTCTCGTCTAGAAAGACTAAATTTGCCAGCAACTATCTTCTTTAAGATGTGTTGCTTTTTCTGGCCCACTGATATCACTTTCATTTGTAACTCAAGAATATGAAACGTTTGATTAAGTTCTAATTTATCTCCAATAGTAATGCTGGCAAATTTGTTGATAAAATAAGCCCTTAATGATGCATTGATTATTAAATGGAAAGATTAACTAAGCCGCAAAACAGATACCGGCCTTAGAACTTCGATAGATGAAAACATTTGCGAGAAAGTTTTCAATTTTCTGCATTGTCAAGTTTCTCTTGAGTTTCCTCGACTTACAGCTCAATTTTGTTTGTTTTCTAAAGAGGATATGGTATCCGACATTGTAGCGAGTTTCAGGATATCGGCCATTTGATTTATAGTTGTCAAATGTTTTCACCTAGTACTCCTGTCCTGCAATATCATAATAACGAACTGTTGGTGAATTTTGAGTACTTTTGTAGAATGCAGCATCCATGGTTACAACTGTTTTAATGACAGAAAACATCATGGTCTAGATGCTAACAGACATTTCAATTTCTTTTCCGAATTGTTATAAAGGATTACCTTTCTATTCTGCACGGTAATATTTGTATCAACTTTTTCTAGATACGGCAATTTAGTTGGGGGGATCTTTTCTCGTGGTTCTAAGGGTACCCATGTTATGCAAAGTTTTCTGAGGAATCCAAAGGGAGTGTATCGAGGCAGACAGAGCAATCCCAAAGTCACTGCAGACTGTCATATTCTAGTTAAACGTTAGAAATCTAATCTAGTTAGAGCGATCTCTAAGCCTTGTGTAATATGTCAAATATAAAAAGTTTTAGGATCTTATAAATCTTTGTGATTCATGTGCTGCTGTGATGCTTTCAACGTATACATCGTAGTTTTCACACAGCGGGTATATTTGCTAATTTTTGTATTGCTTTAGGCCCCGTTTACACGGAAATGGATCCGCATAGATCCGTACCCAAACTGGCTACAATAGGCCTTGCATTTACACGGGCACGGTAGGATCCGTATCTTTTCTGGGAGAGATCCGTATCTTTCTGGGTACGATACGAAAGCGAATCCATTTGGATCCGTACCTTCATCGGCGCCGTGTAAACGGGAAGAAACGGATCCGCAAAAGCACGGCAGTAAAACTAGACTGCTGCTGGGGTCAATGGAGGCTATTTCAATTGTACGCAGCACTCATCATATAACAAAGAAACTTCTCTCCCACCCCCACTCTTTTCCACAGTCGACAGCTTTTCTGAACCCTGTCTTCATCTTGTTTATTTTCTTTTCACCTTTTTTTTAATTTTTTCTTTATCCTAGCTATTTTGAAAGTCCTAAATTGCTGTTTCTGGATAGGTCTCGATAAATTTTAGTAGAATGTCTTCGTATTTCGACATAACAGTCCCCCAGTGTTGTCCATTTTGCATTTTAGCAGCATTGTAATCCATAACTACTTTCATCAACAAAGCTGTCTCCTCGTCTGTCAATGTAAAAAATGAGCGCTTATCGTTGCTTGCAAATGACGCCATCTTAGATGATCTCCCGCCAAAATGAAAATTAACAATTACCTTGTCTTTGCACATGCTTAGAAAAAGCGATTCGACTTTGGTCCGTTCCCGTGTAAACGCTTTATAGTTTAGGATCCGATCTCGTGTAAACGCTTGTGGATCGAACCCATATCGTACCTAAAAGGTCCGGATCTTTTGGATTCGTTCCTTTTTCTCTCGTGTAAACGGGGCCTTAGATACAGCACACCTGCTATTGAGAGTCAAGGACCCTTGCACAGTATGGACCGTCATCAGGGACGGACTTAGCGGGGGTGTAGGGTGTAGGACATCCCCCCCCAATATCTCTGTCTCCTTCGGTAAATTTGGTTCCATTCGGTAAAAACCATCTTTTGGTAGTCAACAGTAACAAATTAACGCCAAGATTTTACTTCATTTATCTCCTTAATATCAGTATTTATCTTATATTCAGTAGCGTAGCGGGGGGGGGGGCAAGGGGAGCGGTAGCCTGTGTTCCAGACCTCTACTTTCAAGTTAGGGGTCTGGAGCACAGGCTAGGGGAGCAGCCGCTCAGAAAGTCGGTGTCTGAGAAAAGTGCAAGTTTGCAATAGAATTAGTACCTTAAAGGGGGACTTTATATTTCGGACAATATTAAAACGTTTTTAAAGACTGCAAACGACTGTAAGAAATATTCTTAAATGTATTTCAAGCTTATCTGAAGGGCTTCGTCGCAAAAATTTTCTTCTCACTTCGCTCGCACAGAATGTTCTCCTTTAAAACTCTACAGAATGTTCAACAATTTATTCCACGTTATAGGATTTAAATAGAAAAGCCTTTCACGTTTTTTAGACAATCCCGATAAAAACGAAACTAAAATGCTAAAGCGCTTCAATCCTTAAAAAAGTTAGATTCTGAAATGCTTGTCGGGGATTTTGCTTCAAGGAGAACGGAATTAGTTTAAAACATTTGAATCCTGTTTGTTATTTTTAGATATTTGATTAAAACTGTGGAGAATCAGTTTGTACACGTAGTGCTTCCTCGCCTTACACAATTCAGAATGCAAGCGTTTGATGAATTGTCAAGGAAATAGGCAGTTGTAGAATGGGGTCAGCTACAAAAAGCCAGATATGTTGTTGTATAAAGCGAAATTGCCAAGTAAAAAACCTCTACCGTTTTACCTCACTTGCTCTTCGCAACGGAAAGTAAAGTTTGCACGCAGGCTACATAATCGATTATTTGTGAAAGGTGAGGGAATGCAAAATGTAGTATAGACCAAAGGGTGGAAAGGGAGTTCCACCACCCAAGCGGAGAATTTATGAGATCAATTTCTTCTGGATCAGTTTTTTGCGTAGATTTCGAATTTGGGTGCTGATCAACAGTTTAAGGGGGCTTTTCCGAGATATCGGAGGTCTAAAGACAAATTTCAGGGCTAATTGCTACAAATTTGTTTTCCTCAATAAATTTCAATAAGGTAAAAATAGATATGTTCTTTGACTATATCTATAATTGTTGGCTGATATTTGAAAGTTTTTTCTATATTTAGAAATTAGGGGCTCAAGGGAGGTGTAAAAAACTACAATTTCCCAAAAAAACATTTCTGTTACAATATATTTAAAATACTATCAAGTCTGCCAAAAACATTATTCATCTCCATCCTTATCCTCAAACATATCAATGCCTCTTCTTAAGTCTTCCGCTTCTACAAGGTCGTCAACCTCCACTAGTAGTTTCAAAACATCATCTGGAATTTGCTCAAAAATTCATTAGACAGAATTAGAAAAGTTATCTTTCCATCCGTGTGTACTTGAGCCTTGTTGCTCTACCATTGGTTGAGAGGCTTGTCTGCACATATGTGCAATGTAATTTGAACGCTTGATGTATCTTAAAAGGTTGTTTTTGCATGGTCGTTGCAAAGAGAGGTCTGTGATTTTTGACCCCTTGAAAAATGTTTCCAAAAATTCAATTAAGATAAAACTTTAATGTTTAAAATGTCTTTTTATGACACCAGGTGAGAGTACAATTAATTTTACCCCCTTCAAAAATGTCAGGAAAGTAGCTTATTACATTTTCCGCTCTCCCCTTTCCTGTTGATGTGATACGAGAACGACCCCTTAAAAGAACAACCAACTATCACAGAAGTTCGTAAAACAACCTACTTTTGCGACGTTACGTGAAAAATAAAGGGCCCCAAATTTCTTTAACGATTGTTACAAAGGCGCCTCCAGTAAATTTTCCCGCCAGAAAATAAGCACCTGACGTGACATTCGTCGAATAATTAGTTGTGCTGAAGCTGACATGGTGTAAATATAAAATGTTATTATGGAATTATTTGCGATTATATATGTAAGTATTGTATTTCCAAGCTGAATTTTGTTGGGTTCAATTTTAAAGTTTATATTATTGATTTAAAACTCGTAAATGCATCCGATAACACTTCTTCGAGTTTCGTGAAGCTGAACATCAAAGTATGCTGGAAAATGACTTTTTTATAAAGTGAACCCTTCCTGGCATATTTCCTAAGTAATTATTTTGCAGTGATAGCTAAATAACATTTTTAGATGGCGTTTTAAGATCATTTTAGATTGAATGATTGTTATAAATAGACAGAGGTATGTTTAAAATATCATGTTAATGTTTTAATGGCCATAACTTTTCTTAAAAACAAGATCGCGAAAAAGCCAACACTGGAAATGTGCCCACAAGCCTCCTCGACACTTCTGCAAAATTAAAGAAAATTTTCCCAAGAATTCTAGCATCAGGACTTTTTTGAAGAAGGGGTGGTCAAAATTCTAAAATTTGTCATTTCTCGCAATTTGATTGGTTCAAATCGATGGGGGTTCCCGCTTTGGCGATTCCTTTCGCAGCCAATCAAATTTGACGCCTATGCTGAAATCGACTGCCTTGACGGACCCAGACCTATTCAACCAACTCAAACAACCGCTCTTTATTGTGTCTTTTCCTCAGAAACGCAACGAAGTTACGAGGAATCATTATGTTTGACAATTTGATGAAGAAATGGTTCTCTGCATTCTTGATGGACCAATCGGCATGTGTCGCAATATATAAACAATTGTATTGTTGTATTGTCTATTGTGCCCGTAATTCATTCAGCAACTTCGTTGCAAGCTCCCTGAAAGTGTCCGGTACTCTAACTGTAGATCGAATGGTGGCCACCAAATCAACAGCAAAGCAAATTGCCTATCACCTCTCTTTTTTCCTTGTCTTTTTTCTAGGTATAAAACTTGCATGTCGTCTAAAACTTGCTGCCAATGTGTCGCAGAGACCAGGTCGATGATAGATATCAACGTCTGGACTGACCCTCGATCACGACAACTATCTTGGGAACGAGGTGTCTACTGAGATACTGCTCGGAGGGGAGGGGGTAGGGTTGTTTTTTGGGGGTGGGGGTATAATTGTTTTTTGGTGGGGATAGGGTTGTGGGGGGTGGGGGACTTTCGGTATTTAGAACCTGCAAATGCCCGATAAATGCTTTCACAGTGCGGTTAGTTTAGCTTTTATTCTGAGGAGTATCACACATGATCCTGTGTTTTGTTTACAGACAAATTCAATGCGTACATTCCAGGGCCTAAAATAAGCGTTGATCTGACTCACTTTGTGACGTTGTAAATAAAAATGGGTGAACTGTAATTGTAGTAAGTGTGGATTTGTAAATAGTGCATTTTCTTTAAAGTGCAGCATAAAATGCCAATCGAAAAACTGAATTCGGAATCTACACGAAAAACTGCTCCAGAATAGATTGGTCTC